TGGGGACCATTTGATCTGAGCCTTAAGCCTGAGGGTGCCTGAAATTTTGTTTGCCTTTAAGTGACGTGAGCAGGGAAGAGGGTGAGCCCTGATCAAGTGCAGGTGTTTAACAAATATTTATTTCTGCCTCTCCATTTGATTAGTTATTATTATTTGTATTACACTTCTCAATGAATTTTGCTTTGAATGAATATATAAGCTAGCATGATGTATCACAGAGCAGTTGAGCATAAATGTCAAATTTTAAAGAGAATCCCAGTGTTGACTATCTACCCTGAAATCTTGACCAAGGTCTCTCCTGTCTCTATCACATCTCTTGCAACTTCTTCTAATCTCCATTCGCACTGCTTGCCCCACCGTAGCTAGTCCTCACCATCTCCCATCTGTATTGCCATCATCATCTGCCAGCTTCAGTACACTCTCCTTATTAGACTGGAGTTCCTAAAACTCAGCACTAGTCTTGTCATTTCCCTGCTTAGAAACCATCCATGTTTCCCCATTAGCTACAGAATCGTTCTTTTAAGACCCCATAATATTACCCCAAACTGACTTTTCCAAAAGTTGGTTTCCAAACTACCTTTCCAGAGCCCTGTATGATTCTTATGTGTTTTAAAATATCCTATTTCTAGACCTATGTTCCTGCCTTTTCCCCAACCTACAATGCCTTCCATCCCATTTCTGTGTAACCAAATCTTATCCACTCTTTTAAATCCCGGCTCAAATACCACCTCCTCTAAGAAAACTTTCCTGATCATCTCCTCTGTCCTTGAATTTGTATAATATTGTCTTACCCTTATTTTATTTATTTACATGTTGAAAAAAATTGCAAGTCCCCTATTGGAATCTCTGTAGAATCTCCCCAGGCCTTAGCACAGTGTTTGAATAGGTAGTAGGGATTCACTACATTTTTATAAACATTTTTTTAAATTACCAAAGTAATGCATGCACGTAAGCATTTAAAGTGTGAAAAAGTTATCAAATAAAAAGAATGAATCCACAACATTTTTTTCCTATTTATTCCTCCTAAATTCCCCAGCTGTAACCACTATTATAAATTTCCTATATAACTTTCAAAAATTGTTTATGAATATACAAGGATATAGGCAAACTTTTTTTTCCTTTTTTTTTACACAGATGGGATCATACTTTGCATCTTGCCTTTTTCACACAACAATAGATCTTGGAGTTTTTTTCATACCATATATGGATTTACTCAATCTTGTTAATGTCAATTTGCACATACTTATGCAGTAATAACTATAAGATACATTTTTATTAATGAAATTTTGAGTCAAAGGTTATACCTGTGTATTTTATGTTTTGACCACATTTCTATCCAAAGAGGCTGTATTTAGCATGTACAAGCACTTCTGCTTCCCAGCAGTTGAATTTCCTCCGGGTATTTTCATAGTTTTAATTCTGAACCCTTGAAGAGGTAAAAATGGTATCACATTATTCTTTTTTTTATATAAATAAATGTATTTATTTATTTATGGCTCTGTTAGGTCTTCGTTGCTGTGCGCAGGCTTTCTCTAGTTGTGATGAGCGGGGTTTACTTTTCGTCACTGTGCGCAGGCGTCTCATTGTCGTGGCTTCTCTTGTTGCACAGCACGGGCTCTGGCGCACAGGCTTCAGTATTTGTGGCACTTGGGCTCTGTAGTTGTGGCTCGTGGGCTCTAGGAGCACAGGCTCAGTAGTTAAGGCGCGTGGGCTTAGTTGCTCCGCGGCATGTGGGATCTTCCTGGACCAGGGCTCGAACCCCGGTCTCCTGCGTTGGCAGGCGGATTCTTAACCACTGCGCCACCAGGGAAGCCCACATTATTCTTTTAATTTGTGTTTTTTTAGTTATGAGTGAGATCTAACTTTTTTTTTTTTTTTTTTTTTCCTTGCGTTATGCGGGCCTCTCACTGTTGTGGCCTCTCCCATTTGCGGAGCACAGGCTCCGGACGCGCAGGCTCAGTGGCCATGGCTCACGGGCCCAGCCGCTCCGCGGCATGTGGGATTTTCCCGAAACGGGGCACGAACCCGCGTCTCCTGCATCGGCAGGCGGACTCTCAAGCACTGCGCCACCAGGGAAGCCCTAACATTTTTTTTTATCTTTCTTTTTCACATTCCATTTCAGAGAATCTCCTCCTCTTGCATTTTACCTAGTTTTCTATTGTTTTTTAAAAGCTTCATTATATGTTAATGAAGTTTTGATTTTTTCTGTTGGTTTGTCAATAAGTTTTTTTAACAACAGTCTTTTGTTATAATGGTCATATTTAGCAATCTTTTCTTGGTTTCTGTGTTTTATATCTTGTTAGGAAGTCTTTCTCAATTCCAGGAATATTTTTTAATAGTTCACGTTTTCTTCTAGTACACACAGTTTCATTTAGAAAAATAAGTTCTGTATTAGAACCAATTTGAATTAATTTTACTTCAAGAAGTAAGAAAGGGATTCAGGTTTATTTTTTTCTAAGTGACCAGCCAAGTGTCCCAACACAGTTATCACTCATCTTTTCCTCATTGATTTGAAATGCTCTTTTACACATATGCTAAATTCCATACGTATTTGGATTCATTTCTACCAGATTCTATATTCGATTCCATTGATCTCTCAGTACGAAACTCTTTTAATTACTGTAGTAGTTACTGTAGTTTTATAGTGTATTTTAATATTTGGTACTAGTCCCCCCCCCCTTTTTTTTTTGGCGGTACGCGGGCCTCTCACTGCTGTGGCCTCTCCCGTTGCGGAGCACAGGCTCCGGATGCGCAGGCTCAGCGGCCGTGGCTCACGGGCCCAGCCGCTCCGCGGCATGTGGGATCTTCCCGGACCGGGGCACGAGCCTGTGTCCTCTGCATCGGCAGGCAGACGCTCAACCACTGCGCCACCAGGGAAGCCTCCCCTTTTTTAAATTAAATATTTTCTGGCTCTCTGGCAGGTTTCTTGTGTTTCATTTCCCACCTGGATAAACCTTACTATCTTTGAAGAAAAAATTTTAAATTCTGTTGATTTTTCACTGGAAACATACTAAATTTATGATTAATTATGGTGAACTGATATGCTTTCAAACTGAATCCTTCCCTTCACTGAAGTCTTCTAGTAAGCTCCCCAGTAGCTATTTAATTTTGTACATTTCATATTACCTTTATTCCTGGGTATTATTAATTTTTTGCTGATGTAAATGAGATGTGTTATTATATTTACTTACTGGTTATTGTTTCTGTATGAAAAAGCTATTGATATTTTAGATTTCAATAATATAAGCAGATAACCTTATTGGATTTTCTTAGTTTTTAGTAGTTTCTCTTTTCAGTTAAATCTATATTTCACAGGTATAAAGTCATGTCAACTGCAAATAATAATCATTTTGCATCTTCGTTTTCAATTTTTACATGTATTTCCTTTGACTAATTACACTTGCTAACATCTCCCAGAAAATGTTACATAGTAGTGCTTATAATGAACAACTTTGGCTCATTCATGATTTGGGGGGTAATTCTTCTAGTGCTTCATCTGGCCTTTGTTTAAGGAAGCACCTCTCTAGCTCTACATGGTTAAGAGTATGTAAGTGTGTGCATGCATATGCACACATGAGTGTGTGTTTAACTGAGGGGTTGACGCTCAATTTTATCTAATACCTTTTAAGCAAATTTGAATCAGCTATGCAGTTTGTAACCTCTGACTTATTAATATGTAATTAAACTAATAATTTTCCTATCAGGGAGCCATCCTTGATTTCTTGGATTGGACCATATTTGAGCATAGTGTATTTTCTCCATTAATATTTTACTGGCTTCCATTTTGTTAGTAGTTTATTGAAAATTGATAGTAAATGAAATTGAAATTGGTCCGAAGTTTTCTTGTGTCTGTGTGTGTCTTTTTTTTTTTTTGGAAAAAGAAAAGTTTTACCTTCATACATAGAAATTGAAAAAAATCAGTAAGAAGACGAACAACTCAAGCTAAAAATGGGTAAAGGATATGATTATGCAATTCTCAAAAGAGGAATTAACAATGGCTAAAAATATATGAAAACACCCTCAACATCACCTGTGACTTGAAAATTCAAACTGCTAACACCTTAAGGCTGCCTTTCTTGTATGTGTATTCCCGGTATCATATAGAGAAAGAAATATATCCCTGCCTATTCTGTTAGTAATGACAGTCTCTTTTGTCCTTATAGCTCCCGAATTCTAAGAAGCCCTGAAGCGCATCCATGGAGATACTTGGATTTTAATTTCTATAACAGGTAAAGAAAAATTTCAGTGGTCTCCACAAAGACAAGAATCTTTAAAGACAGTAGATTTCCCCTAATATCTGTTCAGGATTTGCTTTCTAAACTGGACTAAACAAGTTCCTTCAGCAGTGTAGCTCTGATGCTCTGGCTTGGACCTGCATACTGAACTCAGCCCCTTTGGAACCACCAGATGAACTGTAACACAACCAAGTTGTTTGAGAAATCCCAGGTCTCTGTTCCTTCATCTATAAAATGGTGGCTTGTCTCGATAGACTAAAAGCAGGATGAAAGGAGATGATGTACGCTGAAGCCTTTTACAAATCCAACGAAATTTGAAATATTATTAGTATTTTAAGAATCACAAGTGGAGCCAGCAGAATCCATGTAAAAAGTTGGCCTCTCAGATAAAAATTTTATAAAGGGCACCTAGTCTTTTCCATACCAAATAAATCAACCTCTATAGGAGAGGACCTTTCTCACATGGCTACCCTCTCTGGCTCCCCGCTCCGCTCCCATGCTGCCTGCACTGTTCTCCTCACCAGCCCCATTTCTGCTGCTTCACAGAGTCTGCTCATTGCTTGTATGGCATTTGCACCAGGGAGAGAAGGGCAGGTGGAGGAGCTTGGACAGACACGTTCCTTCCATCCCCTCCTGGCAGTCTAACTATTTCTCATTCTGCTCATTGGGGCTGCGAAGTCAGTGAAGTAGAATTTCTTTTCTACCTGGTTATCAGTCCTACATTTAGCATAAGGTTCCACATGTGTGGAAGATGAGGCTACTCACGAGACACAGAGGCACAGGACTCCGGGCATAGACTCACTGTCTCTTAACAGAAAGTTGCCGTCCACCCCTTCCTTGAGCAGCAAGGTCTCACAGTCTCGCTTGGACAGAGGGCCGTGGTAAATAAGGCAGATCCATCGTGAGCCTTCTCATATTCCAAGTTCAGGGACAACTCTGAGGAGAGAATAGGAAGCAGTTGGCCTAATGGAGTCTGTGGAAATACCTCTTCCTTCTCTGACTTGTGGGGGTGAGATGAGGTTTCTTGTGGGACTCAGATGGTTTCACAAGATTCAGGAAATGTGAGAGGTGGGGTAGTGAAGTGACCAAGACTTTTCAGCCTGTAAATAGACCAAGTATGACACATAGAAGTGGGTTAAAGTGCATTTGGGTACACACTGGAATCAACGATATTCATGGCTCGAGCTCAGTGCCGAAGACAAGCTCCCCAGAACTGGGTTGCAGCCTTGTATATCACCCTAAATCACCAGTTTTTACCTTCTCTGGCTCATGGCATCCCTTCCAGGGATCACATCACTGATTTTGGCTGAAATGGATGCCCATTTTCTGCTGAAGCTGCCTATGATTATGCTATGCTTAGCTCAGAACAGGTGCTCACAAACCGTTCAGATGCTAAATGAATCCAAATATGTCCAGACTCAGTGGAACAATTGAGAAGGTAAGATGTGTCTATGGGTCAAATGACATGAGAAGGAATAGAAAGCAACTGGATGCTGTGGGGGGAGGATGGCTGGGGGGGAATATCCCCTGGCTAAGGCTCCTAGCCACTGGTGAACAAAGGCCATTTTTAACATCCTCAAGCATCGTGCCTTTTGGGGAAGGAGCTGGTCCATGTGGGAGGGATATCTGGATATGCAAAATTAGTGCAGGGTTACTTCTCCAGGTGGAAGAAAAGAATATATTAGGCTTGGGTTTGAAGAGTCTCAGGTCCTTTGAAGTTTCCATCTTGCAGGACAGCAGTGATGACCAAGAAAAGTCTATCTAGCCAGGGACACTTAGCCCCCTTTAGACAACCTGGTGTTGATGAGAAAAATCTCTCTTTTTCTGCTGAGCCTTTTCTACCTTGGTCAACTGATATGCTTGGAAAAGATGGTTTCTGTTATCTGAGAATCAGAATTAGTCTTAAGAGTAATTTCTGCGGCCTTTTTTCCCCAGCTTTGTCGAGATACAGTTGACATATAATATTGTGTAAGTTTAAGGTGTGCAACGTGTTAATTTGGGACATTGCAAATGATAACTACCATAGCATTAGCTAATACTGCCATCTTGTCACATGCTTACCATTTCTTTACTGTTGTGAGGACATATAAGATCTACTCTTGTATCAACTTTCAAGTATATAATACAGTATTATCAATATTAATTGTAATCACCATGCTGTACATCAGATTCCCAAAACTTATTCATCATATAACTGGAAGTTTGTACCCTTTGAGCAATAGCTCCCCATTTCCTCCAAGGCTTTTTGAGCAACTAAACCATCCTACATAGTATTGCTTTATGTTCAAATAAATCTTTATTTACAGAAAGAGACACTGGCATGATTTGGTCACCAGCTATAGTTTGTCAGTCCTTGATTTAGAATAGTAAAATTTTTAACTGAGTACATGACTGCCTAGCTAAAGGCTATTTTTCCTAGCCTGCCTTGTAGCTATCTGTGACCATGTGACTAAATTTAGTGTCAATATAGATTAGCATCCTACATAGTATTACTTAATTAGCTATTAATTAATTAATTTCAGATAGAAGCCATGTAAACATATCTATAATCCAATGTTTTAAATTGAATTACGTCTACTTAACTTTAACAATTACCATCGCACAATGTCAATTAGTATGAACTATATGTAAATTTCTCTCCCTATTCACCTGCCTTATCCAAATATCTATAGGAATTTGTACATATCTCAAGTACCTATCTATAAAAATAGAACCGTGTGCTCAGGACACATCCTTACTTCTCTTAATTCCTTCTTAACTCAGATGATTATTTTATCTGCTTTGCTTACCAGCTGTCTACCCACTCCTGGGGATTTGTCTTACATTGAACTTTCCTGTAGCAGATTTTTGTTCTTCCTTGGAAGTCCCACTGCTCTGCTCTTGGTTTAATGTAGTGTAATGGAGTGACACTAACTGAGGAGCTTGTATCAGAGAGATATGCTTTCAAACTCCAGTTTCTCTTGTGTGAACTCAGGCCATTTGGTGTATAATTTTTTTGAGAATTATGGCAGTTGAGGAGAGAACTTTTACTCATGAATGAGGAAATTGGGTACTAAGCTTGGTGTGAGGATATTTTGGGGCATAACAGAGGAAATAATTGGATATACACTCAAGGCCTTTATCATCACAGGGGCTTTCATGCCTTTTTTTCCTGTTTCAAAACCCAGTCCCTTCATCCTCACTCATCATAAGAGAAATGAAAATTAAATCCATACTGAGGTAACATCTTTCACCAATCATTTTTCCAAAGAAGACATACTAATGGACAACAAGTACATGAACAGGTTCTCACAATCATTAATTACTAGGGTAATGGAAATCAAAATCACAATGAGAAGTCATCTCACACATGTTAGAATGTCCATGATCAAAAAGACAAGAGATAGCAAGTGTTGGTGAGGATGTGGAGAGAAGCGAACACTTGTGCACTGTTGGTGGGAATGCAAATTGGTACTAGCACTGTGGAAAACAGTATGGAAGTTCCTCAAAAAATTAAAAATAGAACGACCATATGATCCAGTAATTCCACTTCTGGGCATATATCTGAAGGAAACTAAATCACTATGTTGAAGAGACATTTGCACCCCCATGTTCAATGCAGCATTATTTACAATAGGCTAGACATGAAAACAACGTAAGTGCCCATCAACGTAATAATGGATAAAGAAGATGTGGTAAATACATATACAATGGAATACTATTCAGTCATTTAAAAAGAAGGAAATCCTGCCATTTACAACAACAAGGATGGGCCGTGGAAGCATTATAGTAAGTGAAATAAGTCAGACAAAGACAAATACTATATGTAGCAATTTGTTACAGCAGCATTAGAAAACTAATACACCTAACAAATCTGGTTCCCTCAGGAAGAAAATCCAGATTTCTCTCATGGAGGATGAAGCAGCTTCCCTTAACTTTTCTCTCCTCACTCATCTGTAGTTACATTGAAGAGTAGGATCCTATTTACTATGAATTAGCCCAGCAACCAAGCCTTGTTGCAGGAAAAGCATTTTAACTTCCTTTTCTCTCATACTGCTCCACGAACAGTCAAGCCTGTTCATCTAAATCAAACTGCATGAAAAAAAAGTTACCTAATGTTTACTTGCCAAATGACCAAATTTCCTGATCACATCTCCTAAAATTCATACTTACCAAGTTTACCTTTTATATGTGATTGGAGTGTCTCAGCAGCTTTTGAGATTTTTGTTTGCATTCTTCAGGGTTTTCTTTTTTCATTCATGCTGGACATGAATTTTCGGAGGACACTATCCAACCCAGTGTACTTTCCTACTCCCCTCTTCTTCCACCTCCTCTTCCTCTTCTAAACCTCAGAGTGGTTTATGAGATGAGCACCATCTAAATACGAACTGTAGAAATGAGCTCCAAGGCCCTCAGAGAAACTATAGAGCAGAGAAAGGATTTATCTCAGTGATAAAACTCACCTACAGATCCTGGCTGAAGATTAAATGACCTCAGATGAATTATTTCCTTTTTTCTTTTGTTTACTTCTGAGTATTTCAATTTTTAAATAAAGTGATGTATGTAAAACTATTTTCCAGTAGACAAAATAGTTGAAGCAGTAAGACAGGTACATTATCTGTTTTCCCCTCTTAGATGTCATAGGTATGCTCATATTAATTTAACACCAAGTTATTATTTTCAATATTCAATACAATTATAAACACAGCTTTTAAAATTTTATTTGATGAATGATAAGGAGAAAATGAGAGATAGTCAATCTGTGGTAGAGGGACTTTAGGGAAGCTGATAGTTCAAGATATGAGGAAATCAGAAAATAGGGGGAGTTCAACATTGTAGTGTGTAACATCTACACACTGTTAGTAGATGAGTAACATCTACCACATTAAAAAAAAAAACCCAGATCAATTAAGATAGTATCTAAACTAATTTAACAATTCAATGCCCTGTGTCAGTGTATCTCTTAAGGACCTTTTTGCTGCAAAAATGAGCCCCAACTCAAATAGCTTTAACAGGGATGAAATTCATCTTCCATCCCACTGGAAGTCCAGAGGAGGTATGGGTTCCTAGTCCAGTTCGTAAAGCAGCTCCATGCCACTGTTGAGGACCCAGATTTTTTCTCTCTTTCCAGTTTGGCCTTCTCAGCAGGCAGCCTGGCTCTTGTGGTCCCAGGATGATTGTCAAAGGTCCAAGTATTCCATCCACACACCTTGTGCAGGTAATTGATCCTTGTGCAGGTAATTGATCCTTTTGGCATCCCCAGGACCCCTGGGAAATGCTCTGAGAAGGTCAGGGAGTGCTGAGAAAAGGACACACCCATTCCTAGCATGCACGCATGCACGCACACACACACACACACACACACACACACACACACACATGCCCCACTGTCCACATAGGTGCTCTGGCCTCTCTCACTTCTTTTTCAGGTCAGGGCAGTGGCAGGTACTTACTGCCCAGTGATGTAAATTCTCCTGGGACAAGTGCCCCTTCTCCTTGTGATCCTGGACATCTTAGGAACTTGGCACATCCAGGTACTGTGCTATTCTAAAATATAGTGAATACATAGAAAATTTGAAGATCAGTAAGTCCTACAGATCAGGAGACCATTGCCGTGGAAAAAACACCTTTTTTCTCACCGTTTCCAAGAGGAGGGGGCACATGCGAAAGCATAGGTCACAGGCACAAGAGCAGAGAGGGTGGGGGGGAACTGAGGCCATAGCCTCTATTGTGGTTTCCCTGGGAAGGAATAGGCGAGGCAGGGTAAGCAGGTCTAGAATTGGCTAGTTTGTTTGTTTGTTTGTTTCTTCTAAGAAGTCCCTATTACTTGTCAGGCACAAGTCCCACAATCCTTCATTCCAAATAAAACTAATTTTATCTGCATCTCCTCTAACTTACATTCCTTAGATCACAGGTCTTTT